GGTTGGTGGTGGTGGTGGGTGGTGGGGGGTTGGTGGTGGTGGTGGGTGGTGGGGGGTTGGTGGTGGTAGGGGATTGGAGAGGGTGAACACATAGCAGATGCAATACAATTTGGCTAAATGTGAATATATAGACTTGAGTGTGAAAAACAGAAAGGCAGAGTTATTTAAATGGCGATTGGGAAATATCAATGTTCAAAGGAACCTGAGTGTTCTTGTATACCACTCAATGAAAGTAGACATGCAGGTGCAGCAATCAGTTAGGAAAACAAATGGTATTTTGACCTACATTGCAAGAGGATTTGAGATCAGAGTATGGATGACTTCATGCAGTTATATGGGGCCTTGGAAAGACCATAACTGCAGTATTGTGTGCAGATATGACCACCCTGCCTACAAAAGGATATACTTGCCATAGAAGTGGAGTCTAGAACCAGGATTCACAATTTCAGAATAAGAGTAGACCATTTAGGCACGAGATGAGGAAACATTCTTCACTCAGAGAGGTGCTGAACTTGTGAAATTCGCTTCTGTAGAGGATGCCAGATCGCTGAGTGTATTCAAGAAAGAGATTGATAGTCATTTTGATATTGAAGGTATCAAAGGAGTATGAAGAGAAAGCAGGAATGTGGTGTTGAGGTAGAGTATCAATCATGACCATATTGAATGGTGGAACAAGCTCCAAGAACCATATGGCCTTCTGCTCTGAGTTTCTATTTGGCTTCAAGAATGCATTCTTTAACAGATCAAGATAGGAGGGACCCGAATGGTATCTGTTGCTTGTTGACCACTTCCTCTGGAATCATGTTTGATTTAGGTATATGTGTGCATTAATGGGAGAATGGGGTATCAGATCAAGGAGGCAGTGTTGAAATTGTATAAGACACTCAGCTGGAGTATTGTTTAAAGTTGTGGTCAGTGTTAGGACTTTCACATCTTTCCTATAATTTGCACAGAGTTAATGCTTTGGAGAGGGTGTAGCAGTGATTTACAAGAATGATTCCAGGAATGAGAAACTTTTGGTGTGAGGATAAATTGAAGACAATGAGACTGTTCTCCTTGAGAAGAAGGCTGATTGGAGATAGTTTTCAAAATCATAAGCAGACTGGATAGAGTAGATAGAAAGAAGTTGTTCCTGCTCATAGAAAGGAACAAGAACAAGAGGGCATGGGTTTAAAGTGATGTGCAAAAGAGGCAAGGGTGATTTGGAGGGGGGAGAAAACTTTCTCACAGAGTGAATAGTTAAAGTATGGAATGCACCGCCTGGAAATATGGAGCCAGGTTCATTTGAGGCATTCAAGGGGGCACTGAGTGATTAGTTGGGCAAAATTACTTCACAAGGATATGATGGAAAGGCAGCAGATTGACACTAGGTAATGATTCATTTGAAGAGCTGTTGGAGGTAATAGAACCAAACGGCGGCCTCCTGCACCGTAATGATTGTGAAGTCTCCTTCCTTGCTTTCTCCTTTTGCCTGTCATGCAATTGTACATAGAACATAACAGCATAGGAACAGGCCCTTAGGCCCACCATGTCTGTGCTGACCATATTGCTATTCTAAACTAAACCCATATAGCCCATATCTCTCTATGCCCTACCTGTTAATGTGATGCCTAAATGCCTCTTAAATGCTGCTATCGTATCTGTTTCTACCATCTCCCCTGAAGCTGTTGCTTCCTGCTCCCACTTGAAATTGCAGAATTCATCAATTTTGCTTTTACGTTCCATCCTTCCCCCATCTTCACTTGTTCTGTCTCTGAATCTTCCCTTCTATGATCTCTCTGTTTACATTTCTGGGTAGAGACGGTTCAACAATATCCATTACAAACACACTAACTTCCATAATTGCCTTGACTACACTTCCTTGCATACTTAAGGCCTCCATTCATTCTCCCAGTTTCTGTTGCAACTGTTGTGATGATGCCACATTCCACTGGGGTGCTTTTGATATGCCCTCCTTCTCTCTTAACCGAGGATTTCCACCCCTTGTTTGAAGAGCAACTGGTCTCCAATCTTTTTTCTCTGAATCTGGAAAGAATTAAATGTTGCAGAATTTCATTTTGTCTACCCCTTTGAAATCATGCATATATAGTGACTTAAACTTCCTGTGTAGAATGTTCCACAGCCCTGTTTAAGTCAGAGAATCTGCTTGGTTCCTGGATTTATTGAATATTTTCTTGAGGCCGAAGGTAATAAAACACACAACAGGTGAAAGTTTCTTCTTACACCTTGGATATTTTGGTCATGGTGTCCTCTACACAGCCAGTTATTTTCCTGAAGGAATGTTTGACAAAGTCTCTGCCAACTCTCAAATCTAAATCAAGTTTCATTCGAAACATTTGCCTATTTAATCTTTCTCTGGTCCATGTTGCAGACTATTTGCTTCCCTTAACCAGTAATCCCATGCCAAAGAAATTATATTTGGAATACTCAATCTGCTCCTAACCAACAGTCATCCAGCCATTGTTTTTGTTTAGAATGTATAAAACATATTTGCTTGGGTGTTTAATATTCAGGGGGTGGGAAACCACCTTAATCTCATCATGTTTCAGATTGTGTTAATTTTACAGCCCATGCAATGTTACCGACACCTACATTTATTTATTCCTTTTGGCATTTTTAAAAGCCTAGGGAATCTGCCTCCTCCTGATTTTGTTTATTTTAAGCTTTGTAGGTCTCTCTTTATAATTTGAAATTTTAAGTTTTGTTGTCATTGTTGTAGTTTCTCTCTGAATGCAATTACAGGATATTGTTTTAAAACATGAATTCCGGAAACATCATACAGTGTTCAAAACTTGCTCTTGATGTTGACTCACTTGTGACGTGACATAATTAATGTTTGCTATTGATGAAATGCCCATGAGAAGTATTATGGTACATGACTGACCATGCTAAGTTACAAATTAAATTTGTTTCCATTGTGTGGCCAGTAATCACCTCAAACTGCTTTTATTCCATCTTTGTCAACTAATTGTTCTAATGGCACCTTTCCCTGCAACCGCAGAAAAGTGCTACACCTACCCCTACACTTCCACCCTCACCTCCATCCACGGCCCAAAGCAAACCTTTCAACTTGGTCTACTGCATCAATTGATCCCAATGTGGCCTTCTCTAAATAGGTGAGACCAAACGTAGACTAGGGCACTGTTTTGTAGAGCATCTGTGCTCTCTACATGACAAACGACAACACCTTCCTGTCACCAACCATTTTAACTCACCCTCCCACGCCCTGGGTGACATGTCCATTCTGGACCTCCTCCAGTGCCACAGTGACACCACACGCAAACTGGAGGAGCAATACCTTATATTCTGCCTTGGGAGCCTACAGCTCAGTGGCCTAAACATAGAATTCAACAGTTTTAAAATTTCTCACCCCTGGGCTCATCCCACGTCCAACCTTTCCTCTCATCCCTGCCTCCTTGACCTGACAGAACCTGTCCTCCTCCTTCCCCACCTATCTGCCCTACCCTTCCTGCCAACCAATCCCCACTACCCCCGACCTGCATCCAACCTATCATCACCCCACCTACCTTTCCCCAGCCCCACCCATCCTCCCTCCCGCCTCCTTGACCCGACACAACCCGTCCACCTTCTATTCTACCTATCCGCTTCACCCATCCCACTGACCAATCCCCACCACTCCCTTCCTGCATTCACCTACTACCATCCTACCTACCTTCCCCCACCCAATCCCTCCTCTCTATTTATTTACCAGCTCCCTTCCCCCTCCCCATTTCTGAAGAAGGGTCCTTTCCTGCTCCTCTGATGCTGCCTGTGTTCCTCCAGCTCCACACTGCGTTGCTCTAATGACTTCTTAATATCTTATCATTCCATGTCAAATAGACAGAATCTTCCTGACATTGTAGTCTAATATTCTTCCTTTAGCCCATCCACATAATAGGCTGAAACCATCTGAATTCTGTTATACGCCTTATCTGAAAAACCTAGGTTTCTATTGTGTTTTTTAAACTGGAACTTTAGGCCTGTGATGTCGTAATCCTTTATAGCCATCTCTGGTTCTGAACTGGAGTGCACAACCTGTTGCCTGGATACAAAGGAAACCTAAAACAATGCTGTTATTTAAATTTGGAATCATTCCAAGTATATAGGCTGCACAAATCATATAACCGTTTTTAAAAGAATATATTTCAAGTGCTCCATGAAGATTCACTTTTCCAATTAAAGCAGCTGTTAGACATTACCTGTTTGTGTACCCTAGCAAAAGAGGATTGATGTTTCAACAAACTTATTTTTGAAACAGGGTTAATTTTTTTAATCATTCACGGGATGAGGATGTTGCTGGCTATGCCAGCATTTATTACCCCTCTCTAATTGCCCAGAGGGCATTACTGTGGGTCTGGAGTCACATGTAAGCCAGACCAGGTAAGGACGACCATTTCCTTCCCTAAAGGACATTAGTGAACCAGATGGTTATTTCCAACAATTGACAATGGATTCATGATCATCACTGGACTAGTAATTACAGATTATTTTTGAATTAAAATTCAGCTGTCTACCGTGGCTGGATTAGAGCCCAAGTCCCCAGAACATTACCTTAGTCTCTGGATTAACAGTCCAGTGATAATGCCTGTCACTTCCCCCATTTAATCCTATTTAAAATCCACACTCCATCATTGGCAAATGGGTGACAAGTTGAAAATTGATCACTTTCTTGGTGTTCAAAGACTTTCTCATGCTTCGGATGCTGTCTTTCGTACAGTGAATGTCTGAGTATCCTCATGTTTGGTTTATCGGACTTACTACAGGTGCTATTTGTTGATTTGTGGGATGCTGCTAGTATATCATTCAGAAATGAAATGGAAATGTCATTTGGCAGTGTTTTCCTTGTTTGATTTCAGCAGAATGAATAGATTAGCACAATGTGCTTGCCATTCTCTTCAGCCTGATAGACCTATTTCCCCTTTCTTCATAAGTGCTTTCACAGTTATTTCAAGAGAACCGTCCCTGTGTACCCAGTGTGTGACTGACAATCTCTTGTCTAGGTATACCATGACAGTGAAGAAGGACAACGATATGTTCAATTCTACCAACTCTCGGACTTCCCTTATGTGTCTATATTAGATCCCCGCACTGGTAGGTATCCTTTCATTTAGGAGCTCAACTCCCTCTAAAACAAGATAATGGTGTTTTTATATTGCCTGGATGACAATATACAGTCTGCCTGGCTTTGTGTAGAATCACATTGGCATTGGAAAAACAATTGTTTTTTTTGCCATTTTTAATATTTCAATGATTGCATTACACTGCTTGGAATATGGAGATTTTATGATACAACCATTTTGGAAGAGTATATCATCAAAAGAACCCCCATTAAAAATAAAATTGATCCCATCGCATTTTCTGATGTGATTAAGATAGGCTAACAGTTTCTTATTTTAACCTAGATTCGTTGAATTTTAGCAGAACTTTGCAGTAATGTTCCCTCTAAGCTGTATGGCTGCACAGCCACTGCGAGGGTCTACGCATGTCAATTGGCATGTCCATGCCATTCCTAGCATTGACTTCTGGTTTCAGGAGCCTTGCTGTGCATGAACCTCAGAGGTCCATTTAGACAAAAAGAGAGAGGGAGAGTAGCTTGACAGTCATAAATTTGACTCTGATCCTTTCTTGAGCTAGGGATATTGTTTGCTTCATATCACTTGCGTTGATCAGCATTGCTGTATAAACTAAAATTAGCAATCCAGCAAAGTTATTAGCTACTCAGTGTCAGTGGTTGGGAAAGGTGATAGTATAGTGTTAATGTCACTAGACTAGTGATCCAGCATCCCAGACTAATGATCTGAAAGGGATTCAATTCCAGTCATGGCAACTGGTGGAATTTAGCTTTAATTGATAAATTCTGTAATTAATAGCTGGTAACAGTCTTAAGCCAATTTATTCATCTATGTGGTATCAGGAAATGGATGAAGGCACTGGATACTGCAAAGACTATGGAACATGACAACATTCTGGCAGTAATGCTGATGTGCTCCAGAACTAGCTGCGCCACAACATTGGCATCTACTGGACAATATCGAAATTTGCACAGGTATGTCCTGTACACACAAAGCAGGACAAATCTATTCGGGCCAACCATTGCCCCATCAATCTACACTTTATCAACAAAGTGATGGAGGGTATTGTTGACAGTGCTAGCAAAAGTTATTTGCACAACAATAACCCGCTCACTGATGCACCTCAAATTGAGTTCCACCACAGATCACGACACCTGACCTCATTACAGCCATAGTTCAAGCATGTACAGAAGAGCCAAACTCCAAAGTTGAGGTGAGAGTGACTGCCGTTAGCATGAAAGTAACATTTGATTCAGTGTGGCATTAAGAAGCCATAAGCAAGACTGAAATTGATGGGAATCAGAGAAAACTTGTCACTGGTTGTTCCACAACCTACCATAAAGAAAGATATTTGTGCTTGTTGGAGGTCAGCCTCAGGACATTACTGTAGAAGTTCCTCAGTGTCCTAGGTCCAGCCATCTTCAGCTGCTTCATCAATGATCTTCCCTCCATCATAAGGTCAGAAGTAGGAGCCTTCACTGATGATCATAGAACCCGTACAGGGTGGAAGTAGGCCATTCGGTCCATCAAATCCACACCCGCCCTCTGAATAGCATCCCACCCAGACCCACCACACTACCTTCTCCTTGTAACCCTGCATTTGCATGGCTAAGCCACCTAGCCTACACATACCTGGACACTACAGGCAATTTAGTATGGCCAGTCCACCTACCCTGTGCATCTTTGGACTGTGGGAGGAAACCAGATCACCTGAAGGAAACATATGCAGACACAGGGAGAATGTGCAAACTCTACACACAGTTGCCCGAGGGTGGAATTGAACCCGGGTCCTTGGCACTGTGAGGCAGCAGTGCTAACCACTGAGCCACCCTACCATCCATGTTAAACACCATTCATGATTTAGGTACTAAAGGAGTCCATAACCATATGCAGCAACACCCAGACAATATTTAGGCTCACGTCAATAAGTGTCAAGTAAAGTTCATGCCACACAAGGATTGACCATTTCCAGCAAGAGATAATCTAGCTGTCTCCTCTTGAGATTTAGTAGCATTCATTGTTGAATCCTTCATTAGAATTAGATTTATTGTCCCATGTACTCAAGTTACAAAAGAACATGAATACAGTGAAAAGTGTGCAATGTCTCCAACACATGGCACCATCTTAGGTACAAAGTACCTAGGTACAAATCTTAGATACAAAAAATAGAGAAAATAAAGAGAAGAGTTATTAGCAACTTACGAAATGTCCCATCTGATGCCTGGGTCAGGCAGGTCTGTAAATGGCTATGGCAGCCTTTGCTAATAGACCAATCAACCTGGTTTATTAATAGGATCTGGGGAGGTTGGACTGATTTATGAAAGTTGGAAACTTTTCCATCAATTTCAGATGACCTTGCCAAGCAAAAGCCCTCAACATTAGTTTCATCTTGACTAGACACAACAGAGGGAAGCTATATTTTTCAAGACTCCTGCACGGTTTTTTGTGCGTCATTGTAGGCTAGGGTGATTTAGTGTGGTTTCTGGCTCTGAAAAACCATATCACTCCATAATCAGACAAACAAAAACTCTCAGTTGCTTGGTATGGAGGCTTTTGCTTATGGCGATAGTTCTCCCTGTGTTGGAGAGCCAATGATGGAACTTCAAAGACAACAGACCATGTAAGCAGAACAAGTTAAATTTTCTGAAAGGAATTCTAAGCAAAATTATTGATAACTTTCACAAGGATATTGGATAAATTTTTGGGGGAGAATCCGAACTCAACTGCTGAGAAAGAAAAGAGTGAGTTTGATTGGATAACTTTTTTAAGAGTGGGTAAAGACTTGTTGGCTGAATGGCCTCTTCTTGTGCTGTAAGATCATAGGTATGATAAATCAAAGCCAGTAAAACAATTGCAGATATTTAGTTCAAGATCTTGAAACATGGAAGAACTACTTTTTATTCTTTCATGGGTTGTGGACGTCATTGGCTAGACCAGCATTTGACTCTCATTGCCTTGAAGAGGTACTGGTGAGCTGTCTTGAATTGCTAGTTTGTTTGGTCTTGATTCACTCAATGTTATTAGAGAATGGTAGAGAATTGAATGGTGCTATTGAAGAAGCACTTGGTACGTTGTTACAGTACAGAAAAAGAGGGAGAAATGAATGTTTAACATTGAATTATGGGGTGATAATAAAGTGAGCTGCTTTATCATGGTTAGTATTGAGCTTTTTGAATATTGTTGAAGTAGCACTCATCCAGGCAACTGAATTGTGCCTGATAGATGGTGGGATGGCAGTGGCGAGTTACCTGTCTCAGAATGCCCACCCTCTGTCATACAAATTCTGCAGTTACATGAAAATTGCTGGTCACTGGTGAACTCTAGGCTGTTGATGGTGGGATTTAGTGATGAAAATGCTGTTTAATGTAAAGAATCTGGTGGTAAAATTTTCTCTTGTTGGAGATAGTCATTGCCTAGCATTTGAGGTACAAATGTTACTTTCCATTTAGCCCAAGACTGCATATTGTTCAGATCTTGCTGCATCATAGAATCCCTACAGTGTGGAAACAGGCCCTTTAGCCTAACAAGTCGACACCGACCCTCAGAGCATCCCACCCAGACCCATCCCCCTATAACCCACCTAATCTACACATCCCTGAACATTACGGGCAATTTAGCATGGCCAATCCACCTAACCTGCACATCTTTGGACTGTGGGAGGATACCGGAGCATCCGGAGGAAACCCACGCAGACACTGGGAGAATGTGCAAACTCCACTCCGAGGGTGGAATCGAACCCAGGTCCCTGGCACGGTGAGGCAGCAGTGCTAACCACTGAGCCACCGTGCTGCAAAGCAGTTTGGGTCATTTCCCTACCTCTGGCATTACAAATAAGACTCAATACTGCAATTATTAACCAACATGCCCACTCCTAACTTTTTAATGTAGGGTAGGAAGATCATTGAAGCAGCTGAATGTAGTTGCATTGAGGACATTACCCTGAAGGACATATTGGGGTTCTTGTGGCGCAGTGGTATACCTCCCTCTGAGCCGGGAGGCCTGGGTTCAAGTCCCACCTGCTCCAGCGGCAAGTCATAACCCCTCTGAACAGGTTGACTAGAAGAGATATAAAATGGAGTAAAGCAAATTACCCTGAAGAGCGTGAGACTGTTACGGTGCAGTAATAGTGCCCCTACCTCTGAGCCAGGATTTCCAGATTCAAGTCCAACCTGCTCCAGAGACGTGTGACAACATCTCTAAACCAGTTGATTTGAAAATATTTACCCTGAAGAACTTGTGTTGCAGTGTACTAGGGCTGAGATGATTATCCCAGCCAGGAAAAAGTTTCCTCCAATTGCCATTGATTTCAGTTTTACCTGGATTCCTTTTGTCCATAGCTGGATCAGGGCTGTAATGAGGTATGGAGCTGAGTCATTCTGGTGGAACCCAGACTGATCATGAAGCAAACTGTTGGTTAGTAGCTTCCATGCCACCTAATTTAGTGCGCCATGTGCAGGAGAGTGAGTACTTTGCAAAACTGAGGATGCAATGGGTACTAGATATTGGGATAAAGAGCGGAGGCCGAGATGGAATACTGAAGGAACAGTCTTGGTGAAAGGCTATGAAAGGGAGGCAGGGGTCAAGGTGAGTGAAGAATTTCAGTGGGCAAGAACATAGCGACCAAACAGAAAGCTGCTGATGGGTACAAAGAGCGTCCTGATGTTAGAGGAGCAATGTGGGTGTTTTGGGGCACAAAATATGAAATTCACATCAAGAAATTGTCTGTATAATAGAACAGCATTGATTTGTTGCCTGTACTTTGCTTTCTAAGGCAATAGCTCATGAAAGAATGGGAGTTGTTAGTTTTTCTATAAACGCTGGCTAGCATTAAAAAAGAAACGATAAAATACCTTGAGCAATTCCAAGTTCCCAAAGCATGCAGATACTAGTCCAGTAGGGTGAATGGCATCTGTTATTGTTGTCTGTCAAAGGAATATAAAGAGTAATGAGTAAGTAAATTATAAATTATCATAGTGCAAAACTTAAAGAAAATATTTCAAAATACTGTCAGGATGTATAATCAGAAAGCTGAAAATACTTACAGTGCATTGCACTAAAATAGAAGCTATCATTTAATATTGTCAGTGAATTCAAGTCTAACTCACAGTATTAAATATTTTTTTCCTTTTCACTTCTCCTCACTATTTTCCAGGTCAAAAGCTAGTTGAGTGGCGTAACTTGGATGTGAATTCGTTCCTAGAACAGGTGACGGGCTTTTTGACAGAGCACGGTCTGTTGGATGGACTTTCCTGTAGCCCACCAAAGAAACGTCTGCGTTCGGTAAGTATGCAGAGGCACAAGTGGTGCCTGGATTGTGAATACTGTATGTAAGGTAGTTAAATTTGCTGACACTAAGATTAGTATGAAAGTAAGTTGTCATGAGGTGGACGAGAGTCTGCAAAGGGATTTAGAAAAGTTAAATGGAATATAAAGTGGGAAAATGTGAATGTGTCCACTTTGAGAGGAAGAATGGAAAAGCAATATACTAATTAAATGAAGAGATTGCAGACTTGGAGGCACTGTTGGATCTGGGTGTCCTGATACGTGAACCATAACATGTTAGCATGCATGTGGAGCAATTGATTGGGAAGGCAAATGGAATGTAGTGTATTGCAAGGGGAATGGAAGAGTAGGGAAGTTTTACTGCAAAGGTAGATCACATCTGGAGTATTAGGTACAGTTCTGGTCTCCTTATTTGTGAAAGGGATATAAGTGCATTGGAAGCAGTTAAGAAAAAGTTCATTTGACTCATTTCTGGGTTCAGATGTTTATCTTATGAAGAAAGGTTGGGCCTTTATTTATTGGAGTTTAGAAGAATATGATGTGATCTTTTGAAACACATAAGATCCTGAATAAACTTGATAGGACTGAGGCCATGAGGATGTTTCCTCTTGTTGGGGAGTCTAAAATTGAGGGTCACAGTTTTAAGAATAAAGGGTTTTCGGTTTTAAGACGGAAGTGAGGAGAGATTTTTTCCCCTGTCTGTGGAATTCTCTTTCCAAGAAAACAGACAGTGATAGGTCATTGGATTTATTTAAGGCACAGTTAGGTTTCTGATAGACAAGGGAGTTGAGGATCATGGGGACCAGATAGGAAAGTGGTGTTGAGAAGGCAACGAGATTAGTCGTGTTCATGTCGAATGATGGAGCAAGTTCGAAAGACCTATACTCCTACCCTTTAGCCCAGTAACTTGAGGGCTGATGGGAACAGGAGCACCTGTGTTTCAGAATATGGGGGGTGTGGGGGGAGTAATTTTTTTTTTTCAGCAGTTTCAATTATTTAATCCATTGTATGACGTTTGCTTGATTTTATTGCTCATCTATTTCACCTGATCTTTTAGGAGAGTTTAATTGACGCCAGTGAGGATAGCCAGCTAGAGGCAGCAATCAAGGCATCTCTACAAGAGACACACTATGAGTCCTCTAGTCCAGAGAATGAAGATCAGTCAGATGAGGAGTCAGAAGCAGAAGCATTCTCAGACAGTGAAGGGTTCATCTCAATCAATGGATCGGATGAAGAAAGGGAAGAAGAAAGTAATACAAAAAAGAAATTGTCGCCTCGCAAGGATGTGAGCTGTAAACAATCACGCATAGAATTAACTGAAAGGACTGAGACAGGGAAGGACACTGGTTTGGAATTTTCCTACAAGGACATGTCTGAGAAAATTCAATCAGGGGGAGACGCAGAAACCTCAACAAAGCAGCAGGAGATAAACACAGCAGAGTATTTTGATACCAGTGGTAAGGACATTTTGCCGCTCTTCCATAAAATATTTGCGCGCGCATGTGTGTGTTAGAGCTGTGTTCCTGAATACTTTAGATGAAAAAACTTTGTGAAGTGTTGATTTCTATGGGAATTGATCCTTAAAAAAAGGAGTTGGGTTCTGATGGATCTTCCTTAGAAAAAAAGAAACATTATACCTGTACCCTCTGAATTGAATTGAAATACTTTAAATACCTAATTCCTGCATTGGTAAATGAAATAACTGTTAAAATAAAACATTTTTCTTTTGTACTTTCAAAATTTAAAGTCCTACTAACTGTACCTTCTGCAATGGACCCTCTGAGAGTGAAGCTTTGGTACTGTTGCCAGAGATCAGCACCAGGGCCTTTACTTACTGTGCTCTGGGCTGCTTACTAGGGCCATTGCTTGTTCCTAGCCACATCTCTGTCTCTGTGGTGCTGACCAGTGTCACAAGTTTCCGGGTTCAGATTCTGGCTGCTGGGGAAGTGCAGAGGAGCTGCTGGGTTTTGTCCAGGCTTGAGTGGGTTGAGAGAAAGCGAGGGATAGGGTTTGCTGCAAGGAGCAGCCCCAGATGCATGAGGAAGAGGCTGCTCCAAAATGGAACCACTCTGGTCAGGTAAGGTCCCATAATGCAGTCCCGCAAACAATTTTCATACAAATCTTGCAATGTTCCAAGAGATTTCTGGGCCAAATAAGGTAGCATTAGTAAAGCGAAATAACCCTAGAAGGGGTGACATTAGACACATATTCCTTGTATACATGCACATGCACAAGTGAATATACATCATATGCACACATTGAGGATCAGAGCAGCCTTTGAATATTCCCACAAATAATTTAGTTCTTATTTTGAAGTTGAATGATCTGTACCTTGTAAAATTGGATACCTAATTTTATATGCTGTCAAAATCACATATAGATCAAGGTAACTTTGATAAAAATTTGAAAACTCAATATATTAAATTTTTCAATATTTTGCTTTACAGCACAAGGAGAATACCTGTGTGAAATGAGTAAGAGGTTTTTAAAAGATCAGCATTGTTAATCAATGCATTACTGCCCAGGCATACAGCATTGGGGACTTGTCTCATTCTGACAATTAGACTTTGGAGTGAGGTCATGAGGTGGACTCCAAGGGGTATGTTAGCAAGTTCCCAAGTTTGTACGAACACTGGAGGCTGAAATTCTAGAATAGAGGGACAAATTCTGGGATCTAGCATTTTGTGGACTAAGGGCATTGGGGAGAGAGTTCTCATGGTGTGGAAATATTATTGGCAGTGTTGGGATCAAGGACAAGTGACAGTATGATGCTAGGTTTGTGAGCTTTAAGAGGAACTTTGTTATATTCATTCAGAGGATTTAGGCTTCACTGTTTTGGCTAGCATTTAATACCCATCCCTAGAGACGGTGATGGTGAGTTGCCGTCTTGAACAGGAAGGTCATTGAACCTACAAAACTACCCTGAGGAGCTAGCAGGGCTTATAGGGTGCAGTGGTAGTGTCCCCAGCCTCTGAACCAAGACACCTGGCTTTAAGTCTCACCTGCTCCAGAGGTATGTAATAACATCTCTGAACAGGTTGATTAGAAAATATCTACCATGCGGAACACCTCCAATGTCCTGGAGCTGAGATAAATGACCTCCAACAACCACAACACCTCCCTTTGCATTAGATCTGACTTAATCTAGTGGAGAGCTCTCCCTTGATCCTCATTGACTGTAGTTTTGCTAGGGTTCTTTGATATCACACTGTCAAAAGTGGTCCATTCTATACTCTGAGGCACGCTGATGAATTCATTTTCCTTTGCTGTCCAGCTCCAGCTGATATTTCCTTGCTTTAGAAGCATTTAAGTGCAAATGTTCTGCTTAAAGTTAAAAGATGAAAACCACAAGTTCAGCTATTTTGTTCATGTATATTCAAAAATTTCCATAAGCAAACAAAGAGAACCTTGTTTGCTTGAGTATGTGGTCGAAGAGTTTCAGGGCAGAGGAGATTACAAGGGGATTGCAGTGGGAGAGAGATCCACTGAGGTCCCGATCCAAAACATCAACTTTCCTGCTCCTCTGATGCTGCCTGGCCTGCTGTGTTCCTCCAGCTCCACGCTGTGTTACGTTTGACTCCAGCACCTGTGGTTCTTGCCATCTCAAAGAGAACTTTGTTTTTAATTAATTTGTTCATGGTACGTGGGTGTGGATGGCAAGGCCAACATTTATTGTCCATCCCAGAGGGCAGTTAAGAATCAACCATATTGCTGTGGATCTGGAATCACATGTAGGCCAGACCAGGTAAGGAAAGTAATTTGCTTTCGTAAAGGGCATTTGTGAACCACATGGATTTTTAAATTACAATGGACACTGGGTCCAAAATTGTCATCAGGCTAGCTTTTAATTCCAGATTTCTTTTCATCAAATTCAGATTTCACTACCTGCCAGGGTGTGCTTTGAACCTATGTCCCCAGAACATTAGCCTGGGGTCCTGGATTATGAGTCCAATGACATTACCACTGCACTACCATCTCCTTAAGTTCATTGTTTAAGAATTTTTACTAAAACTCCATAAACAGTGTCTCTCCAGTAGGTTTTAAACTGGATGTATATTTTCCAATGTGATGCCCACATCCCATGGATGAATTTAAAAAAAAAACTTGGATTTAAAAGAAGTTCCTGTCTCTTCTGCATATCAACAACAGATTCACAATAATAACTGCTACTATTCATCCCTCTATTAGGCTGTTATCTTTGTGGAGTTCTTAATAAGAAACAAGAGCAGAGATAGTCCTTTAGGCTGTTTGAGTCTGCTTTGCCATTCACTAAGATCAGGTCTGAACTGAATGTGGCTTTCACTTCATGTTCTTACCCGTTACACTATAACCTTGAATCTGCCTAATTCAGCCTTGAATATATTCATTGACACAGTTTTTGTTGCCCTTTGGGATTAAGAATTGCAAAAATTACTAAGCGTCAGGGAGAAAATCCTTCTCTCCATCTTAAATGGGAGATTCTGTATTTTGAAACTCTGGTATCTAGCTCTGGATTACCCCATAAGGTGAAACTTCCTCTCAGCATCTACCATGTCAGCCCCTTTCAGAATTTTCAATGGTTCAATAAGATTACCTCTTATTCTTCCAAACTCCAATAAGTATAAATCTTTCCCATAAGACAAGCCCTTTATCCCAGGCATCAACCTGGTCATTTTCCTTTGAGCCACCTCCAAAGCAAGTACCTGCCTTCTTAAATAAGGATGTCTAAACTGTATATGCAGTATTCTGGGTGTGGTTTCACCAGTGTCCTGTACATTTGTACCAAGACTTCGGTGCTTTTACACTCCATCCCCCTAGCAATAAAGCAATACAAATTCATCCCAAAACTGAAGTCCAAGTTTTTAAGAATTCAAACTTTAAAGCCTTAGAGCAAAGAAAATCTCAAGTCCTCTCAATGTACAAATACACTCTCTTTCTGAAATCCTGTTCACATAACTGTTAGAAATTCTGCAAACTGCAAATGCTCAATGCATGTGATTGAAAACCTGTCAAAACTGTTGAGGTAAAATTGTGCAATTGAAGCTCAAGGATAGGCTGACACTGAATTAGATGTAATAATGAAGGTATAAAGTATACAATATATCATAATGGATAAATTGTTATTGTGAAACATGTAATGCTTTGAAATTCTTCTTGTTTAAACCTTTTATTTTGGACAATTACTGATGGGAAAAGAAATGGATGAAAATTTCTCAGTATTTTGAGTGATTTTTGGAATTTGTGATTGACTTTTAAATGAACAGTGGCACAGTAATTTTATATAAAAGACAACAGGAAGTGGCATAATGGACAGAAGGTGTCAATTAATGTCAGAAAATATCAGGAAAAGTTCAAATACTACTTGAAGTTAAACAAATGGAAGATGATATCAAAGTATGTGCTGCCATTTGGTATCAAAGTTTAGTCCAGAGCACAATTTCAGTGTAATTTCTAAATTATAGAACATAACTTGATTGGAATTTATAGCTGCCTGGCTGAATCAGATAGCACAGTGAAAGAATTGTTGACTTTTAGTTTGGAAAAACAAATTGAATTATGATATTTTATAACTTTGATAAAATCTGTTTGTTTCATTCTCTTAATTTTCCCCAACTGTTTATTTGTGGTCTTAATCTTACAAGTCAAGTACAGACTTGCTGTCAAAAAACCTTCCCTACAAACCAAATCTCCTGGGTGATCAAAGAAACCAGGATTATGCAGATATTGAAAAGAAGGCCAAATGTTTCTATGGATGAGCTGAATGAACTTGCTCCTTTGTGATTGACTGCAGATTGGCCACCCTGCCTGCCAGATCTTCCTAGTGCACAATCTAGAGCTGGACAAAGCCAAAATGAGAACATTGACATTCAATTAAATAAGGGTGGTACAAAAACAACACTGGAGAGTCCCTGCCTTTGTTCGTTATAATCATCATTGTAAGAGCCATGACTTGTCTTTCTGCAAATGGTGCTGAAGTGAATTGAGTCAGGGGCAGCTTGAGACACTGATCTTTTTGGTAGTGAACTGATCTCATCTAAAAGCAGTGTGCATTTATTCAATGAATTGATTTTAATATGGAAATGAAAAGAACATTTGAACAAATTCCCAGTGTCTCTAAAACAGTGAATTAGGTGGCATTAACATTATTAGGGTTTTTGTTCATATGCTATATCAAATAAAAGTTGTTACAGTACAGGCATTTCCAGACAGATTTTTTTTTTGCTGTGGTCTCCATGTTAGTGTTTCAAAATAGAGATGTCTGGAAAAAGGCATTTGATGTCCTTGCAGTTACATCTGCTATAATAAAACTAGCTGAAACATGAGCCAAACGTCAAGTTTCATTGGTAATTGCTCCTATTGTCACAGATTCCCTTATGGTTTGTGACACACAGAAATGAGATGATTGGAGGTCTGAAGAAGGGTCTAGGCCCGAAACGTCAGCCTTCCTGCTCCTCTGATGCTGCTTGGCCTGCTGTGT